GGGGGGGGGTGGGGGGTGGGGGGGTGGGTGGGGGGGGGGGGGGCAGCGGGTATGTACAGTATGTGTTAGAACCTCATGCATGTTTCCCCCAGGGAGGACAGACGACATTTAATCACCTTCAACGGACTCTGCGCTTTCATGAGACTCTACGGGGAAAAAAAAAGGAGTTGTTGTTAATGACAAGTGATGGACACACACACACACACACACACACACACAGAGTGTATGTAGTGTAGTGATTTACTGCGCGGCGTCCGTACCGTAGCACGCGCACAGAGCGACCACAGCACAGAGTGCCAGAAACTGAAGGAGGCTCCTCATCCTGGGGGTGTGTTTGTTTGTCTGTTTGTCCGTCTGCTGGAGGAGAGGAGAAGAAGAAGAAAAAGAAGAAGAAGAGGTGAGAACTGTCGGCACCGGAGAAGGACGTCTATATATATATATATACAGTCATATATATATATATATACAGTCATATATATATATATACAGTCATATATATATATATAAAAATAAAAGTGTCAAAGCTAACAGTTTATACAGAGACGGACGTGGTTTAAGGAACTTTCTGAGCTGCTGACTGGAGTTTGGAGCGGAGCAGGAACGCTGTTCAGCAGCTGGAGACACATGTCAGTGTGAACGGCTATAAACACACACATGTATCGGTTATACACACACCTGTGTACAAGTTATACACACACATGTACTGCACACCACGGTAGGTTTTTACGTTTACGCACATGAACACACTGTGAAGTTCAGGAGAGGTGTGTGACATCTGTTCAAACAGCAACATCTGAGGTCTGGAGTCTGTGTCCCACACACACACACCATCACACACACACACTGTATGATTTTCTCTAACTGACAGGACAATTACAGACACGCTCTAACCTTCACGTGAACTTTTTCACCCTGGAATCAGGATCGAACCCTAAACCGACGCTGATGAAGTTGTAATGATGATGCACCACTTTCACCGTGTGTGTGTTCATGGTTACGGCGGCGTGATCAAAGCCAGTGATTTAAAAAAACCTCAGCGCACGTGTGCAGACACATACTGGGGTGAATCTCACGTCACCGCAGCTTGAGCCACATTAAAGCGTTCCTGACAGTCTTCTGTTTGTGGGATTTGGACGGGATTCTGTCTCGGAGAAGCCGTCTCTTTTTCTTCTTCTTCTTCTTAGTTTTCATTCTGTATAAACCCAGACTCCAACCACACACACACCATTAACATCCAGCCCTGGGGTAAACCTTGGTCCAGTGGGCAGCGGAACATACCGTCTGGAGCCCACCGTTGAAAAACAATCATGGCCCTGTGGACGGGCCAGCTGCTGACTGCAGTGTCTACAGGAGTTTTATGTCTGTTTTAAAGTCTGTGTCAGACTGTAAACCCAGACTCCAACCACTCCTCCTCCTCCTCCTCTTCCTCCTGCCTGCAGACAGAATGTGCCAACCTCAGTGGAAAAAAAAAAAAAAGCCACTGGAATGATGCTAACAGTGCAGCGTCAGAGTCAAACCGGTGCTCCTCTCACTGCAGAGAGTAAACGCAGCAGAACTGAAGCGTGAGGTCGGCAGAATTACAACAACATCAACAACAACAACAACAAAAAATCCCTCCTGATCACGACCTTCTGCACCCAGGCAGTCGGAGCAAACCGACGCTCTCCATTCGACGACGATTTAATAAGTTGTAATGTGGCATTAGCGAGGTCTCTCCACCTGCCGTTAGCTTGAGTCCAGTCCCTGGCTGTGAAGTTACTTACCCAGGAGGATAATTACGCTCGTCTTGGAAATATCTCTCTCCAGTGGAATATATTCTAATTCCTGCCACCGAGGCTTTTATACTCACCTCTTTTACCCCCACCCCTTCATTCTCACCCCCACCGACTCCCTGCCTCCACCTCCTGCAGGCTCTTGCCCTCTCTCCTCCCTTCTGCTCCTTCTATCAGGCCTGTTTTTTTTCTCTTTCTTTTTTCTTTTTTTTTTTGCTACACTTAATCATAACCAAGGGCATGAGCTCACTCTTTTTCTCTCTCTCTCTTTTCCTCCCGACTCCCATGCCTTCATCCAAAAAAAAAAAAAAAAATTCCCCACGGTAGGTGACAGACAAGGAGTGAAGACGGAGCAAAACAAGACAGGAGTAAACAGAGGAGTGGAGGAGGCTGATGACCAACCATGGCAGGTACATGATAATATTTTACTCCATTTGCCGCCGTGGCAGCGTCACAAGAAAAAGGAGCCAAAAAAAAAAGAAAAAGAAAAAGAAAAATGACTTTTACACCTGGGAGAAAATAGAAAAAAAAAAGTGCTGTAGTAAAACATCGTATCCATAATTTTTCATTCCACCAGGGGTTTATTACAGAGCTCTGAGTGGACGTTCACGTCATCGGCCTTTAACGCACTTCAAACAGTTCCACTTTCAAACACCAGGGTCATAAACCCAGACTGTGATTTAAGGTGGATTTAAGGGGAAATTTCCCTTTAATCCCAGTGTTGGCAGATCATGAACTGTGTCTTTCACGGTAACAACAATCGGCCCACTGTACGACGCACGCACACACACACGTAGAGGAATTTTTGCAATTTATCTTCTCACATAAACACTGATGTAACACAGTTTGGTTGCACTAGGAGTGTATGGTGGTGTTCTGTTAGACACACACACACATACACACACATTCACTCCTGTTCACACAGTTTGTCCAGAGACGGGCCGAGCCAATCACAGCAGGATGTGCAACATGCCGGTGGGTTTGATTCTGGCAGAGAAGAAATGGCTGATGGGAGTTTCCAACCTACTGTAGACTGACTGTTAGAAAACAGTGTCAAACATTCACTGGTTTTTATTTAATATTTTACTATTTAATATTTCTTTAAGTATTTAAGCATCCAACCATCCAGCCATCCATCCATCCATCCAACCATCCATCCAGTTAAACCCCCATCATTCGACCATTCGCACCTACATCCAGTTAAGACTCTAATTACCCCTGGTGGTTGTGTGAGAACCTAACCATTAACCATTCCATGTGTGATGTAATTCCACCCTCAGACCACCGGGGTAAATACATTCTCACTCCGTTTACGGGGAACAACGTTGGGCCAGACTTTTAATTTAAAGCCAGTTTTAATTCAGTGAAACCACGTTCGTCTGAATTCCTACAGTTCCAGACTGACTGTGAAGGTCACACAGACTGACCGTCGTCAGACAGACTGACCGTCGTCAGACAGACTGAACAGACTGACCGTCGTCAGACAGACTGAACGTCACACAGACTGACCGTCGTCACACAGACTGAACAGACTGACCGTCGTCACACAGACTGAACAGACTGACCGTCGTCACACAGACTGAACAGACTGACCGTCGTCACACAGACTGACCATCGTCAGACAGTCTCGTCTGCTCGTCTCAGAGCAGTCATTACGCCACATCTGGGTGAATATATCTGGGTGTTACGTAAGACCACGGCACGTTCAAGTCGCCCTGATCTCACTGTGTCTCTTACTGTAAATAGCTGTGCAGCACAGGCGTCCCCCCCCCCTCACCCACTCCTCCTCCCCCTCCTCCTCACCCCTCACTCCTCCCCAAAGGCAAACAGTAAACAAACCTCAGACAGAAAGACAAACAACAAGACAGACTTAGAGATGGAGATAAAGTCCACATGCTGATAGGAGGAGATGGGGGAGTTACAGGGGAGGGAGAGGGGAGTGAAGTCAGGAGTCAGGGAGTTCAAGGAGGTGCAGAAAGATAGTAAAGTGAGGAGAGGGTGTATGTTCTGATTTTAAACACATACATTTTCTTATGCATATTATATATTTATTGGTGAGATTTTAAACACATACATTTTCTTATGCAGAATATATGTATTGGTGAGGACAATGACAACAACAACAACGACAACAACGACAACAACAACAACAACAACAACCACCGCCCTACAGTTGTTGCTCTGATTCACCTTCACCTTCAGTCAGGAGTGAGTGACTCAGACCCGGTCGGTGAAAACACAGCTCATTCCTTGGCTGCGTCTGAACGTGGGCCGGGACAGGATCCAGCCCAGACATTACCCAGGCCTGACCCTGGTCTCTGGTCCTCTGGTCCTCTGATCCTCTGATGCTCTTCCTGAGCTGCGGCTGTGAATTTTGCCGTGTGACTGTGGACAAACCTTTATTTAACACGGACATCAGGATCATTTCACCCGTTTCCTCTGTGGTGCGGCCGCTGAGCCGAGACACAACAGAGTCCAGAGCAACAATCACTGTCTAAGAGACCAGAGTGTCTTTAAAAGACATTTGTGGACAACACTGACATCAGACGTCGTCTCTGTGACTCAGAGACACAAAGCTCAGCTGGAAATAAAATCTCAGACAGACGCTGTCACTTCAGGGGATTTACAATTTCACTGAGAACACATGATCCTATAACTGGACTCGTCGCTGTGATTGGCTGGTCAACGGTCCAGCACCTAGCCCTCGTCCAATGACTGCTGGGATTGGAGCCAATGCCCCCACGTGACACTGAAAAGGATTATGGGTGAAGAATAATATTATTGAATAATAAAAGTTGTATTTCTTAGGGATTTCTTACACAAAACCAATAACCCGTCCCTTGGCGGACGCTCCTTTTTTACCCAGTCTTTAAACCCAAAACTTAAACACGCCAACTCTGTCGCAGCTGTCGTTTCAGGCGCAGTAACAATCGACGTTGTTGTCGAAAAACGGGGACGGTTTCGTCCATTTTCCTTTAAAGGACTGTTTCCTGTGATTTACCACAGTAAAAGTTTTACTTCATGTTGCAGTATTCTTAAAGTACTTCTGAAAAACCAGCAGCTCAGCCACCGATGTGTGAAATGCCATTCACAGAACCAGGGTTTGGTGTCTTGGCCCGGGTGGTGTTGTCCACCACACACTCACCAACTCCTGTAAATATACACCTGTTGGACAGTAATAACTGTCAACCACATGGTGTCCACAGCCCACACACACACTCTCACACACACACACTCACACACTCTTCGTCTCAGTACGAGAGCAGTTTCTGGTCGGCTTCGGTTTGTGACTGCGGAAACAAAAAATGTTCTTTCTGAAAACAGGAGCGAACACGTCCTGATCTGATCTCCTCTTGAAGAGGACGATAAGAAGAAGAAGAAGAAGAAGGAACGAAAACAACCCATGGACGTTGGTGAAGATCGTGAGATGGACCGTGTCTCCACCTGCACGCACTCGTTCATCAGATAACGACAAAAGAACAACATCTGGGAACAAACGCTGCTGATTTCCCGCTCTTACATAAGTGTTTTTTTTTTCTTTCTTTTTTTTTTTTCCAGCTCCAACTCTCACTCTGACTCAAACAGAAACGTTCAAATCTCTCCACCACAACTGGCTCAATATTTATAAACCCCCGTCATCCAAAGTGTCCCAGTCTCCAATCTGTGTTCCACACATGTTTTCTAGAACGAAGCCCTGTCTTTACTGCGTGTACTCCGTGTACTCACAAAGACAAACTCAGATCGGTGACATCTGGACCGGTCCTGTCGGAGACAAACATCTGCTCAGGTCGCACCTCAAAAAAAAAACACGTTTTTTTTTTATCTCCTGTAATTTCATCACTTCTACACACGACAAACGGTCATTACCGCCGTCACCTGGAGACGACTCATTCGCTCGTGTAATCCCAATCAGGAAACAGTTTGTCTTAAGGTGAGACGCAGCGCGGCGTCCAGTTGGACGTGGGGGTAATTTGGGGTTTTAATTGTTATTACCGCGGTTTAACGTTTGTGTTCAACTCCTCTCCGTGCATCTTGTAATTGTCTCTGCGGCAAAGAGCAGAAACGTGCATCTTGTAATTGTCTCTGCGGCAGAGAGCAGAAATTGGTGTGTGTGTGTGTGTGTGTGTGTGTGTGTGTGTTAGCTGTTAAATTCTAAAACAAAGACCAAATTATTTGAGCATGTCTTCAGCGGGGTAATGACGGGGGTCAGCTCAGGAGAGTAGGCTGTACATGTGTGTGTGTGTGTGTGTGTGTGCGTGTGTGTGTGTGTGTGTGCGTGTGTGTGTGTGTGTGTGGGTGTGTGTGCGTGTGTGTGTGTGTGTGTGCATACACAGTTCAGTGTAATCTGCTCCTATTTGTCATCAGTTCTCCGTCCAACCTTTTCCATTTCATCCACCCTTCGCTCTGCTGAGACGCCAACTCAAACAAACTGAGCATCTGGGCAGGTGACCAGCACACACACACACACACACACACACACAGACACGCATACAAACCTCTGTCAGGAATCTCACACGAACAGACACACAAACAACACAAAAGCCGAGCAGTGGAAAAATATGAAAATAGAGTTTTATCTTGGTGAATCTGTG